TCTCTTAGAGAATATTCCAATTTCTTACTAAGAGCAACTTTATAAAAGTGAGAAACAGAAAAGCTTTGACTAATAACCCATTTCTTTATTTAAAGATTATGAAACAGACTCCGTGCAGACAGAAGAAGGAACAACTAATACAAACCAAGCACCAAGGGAAGGACCGGGACTGGGACAGAGTCAAATAATTTTGGTGAAGGTATCATCATTGCAGGGCACAAAAGCACTATATTAAGATAAGGCTGTGGATATGCTTCCAGCAATAATCAATCTCTTATTTCTGAAAACTCTTAAATCCCTATTGGAGAGGCTCTTAATTTCAACACTAAATTAATCATTTATCTAATCTAAGGATAGGAGAAATCCCAGAGCAATTTTGTTTGATAACCATGATGTCTTTACCCTTCTCTTTGGCTTCACCACTGACCATATAATAACTGTTTCAGACCTTGCCTCCTGGGTACTGTCCTCTGTTGAAATATCCAAGGCCTCATAGTAGATTTCAGGATTAACAGACTCAAATATCACCATTTAACTACTTTAGAAACTTTCCAGATCTACATAAACAAACAAAAAAAGTAGTTTCTCTAGGTTCCAGTTAATCTTGCCATTCTGAGGGGCCATCAGCCTCATAAAATCTTGTGCAATTCAATAAAACCTTCATTTCCATGAGTACTGAGAGCAAGCCATAACTTCCCTGTTCCCAGCAGACAATCCATCTATGAACTTTGTTCCCCTACCCTCACTTAGTCAGTGTGGTTTCCTACTCCACGTTCAGCCCAGGAGGATACTTACTACTTGCTGGTTTCTCTAACATAATCACCTTAAATAYTCATGTCCATTAAGTTTAAAGATCTTAGGACCATTAAATGAAACTCTTACAGAGTAAGTCCCATATGGAGTAAATCTCATTGGCAKTTTCTCCATTGGAAAGCTGCCTTGGATTCAAGGCTGATCTCCACCAGGATAAGATACTGACATTCTTTATGCACTCCTTGATAACAGCACAAAGCCTATGCAGTCCTCTCAGCACAACATGCAAAGCAACAGAGTCATCAGCAAGCAGCTTCAGAAACAGTTCTGAAAACTATAGGGAGATCTCAGGGGGAAACTCAGCTTCAGAACAATTTTATCTTTTAACAGCTTCTTAATCCCCTCACCTGACTCCTTTTTATCTTTAATATCTTTATCTTCTAGAGTCACACACCCACCCAGAACAATTCTTGCATCCAAAATGAACAAATACAAAAATAAAAAAATAAATAAAAAGTGATAAGACAACCTTCACAAAAGAAAATAAATCACTAAAAAAAAGAAAAAAAATCAAACTCAAAACAAACCGGCATTTTGAGGATAAATCTAGAGTGCTGCACTAAGCCATAACCTCTTTACTGATGTTTTTTTCCTTCCCCTTAACAGATTCAGGGACTGTAATAACATTTAATCCTCAGAAGCTAATCTAAATGTAACACTCAAAAGAAGACAAAGACAACGCAACAGAAAAAAAATTTGGCCACTGCCTTTTGGGAGTGCTGCTTTATCCCTGGAGCGAGCGCATTAATAGAGCTTGGAATGAAATGCCATTTTATTCTCTGTAGCGGGGAGGGGATTAGCAAGTTGTCTTCTCTAAACCCAGTCTGAGTCATGGCTCTATGAACACTGAGAAAAGGATGTGGAACGAAGGGAAGGGCGGGGAGCACTGGCTTTTTATTTACACTCTGCTTCCTTTGTGGGTGGTTACTGATGTGCGCAGTTTGCTAAACAGGGAAAGGAGGGGGGGAAAGTTCTAGGTCCCCTGACTTTAATTCTGTTGGTTAACAAAAGAGAAAATAATAATGTACCAATTATAACAACATAGTTGAGACAATATGTCCGTGGCAACTGTCCAATTCTCCACAGCATGCAAGCAACAAGGGCAAGTTGCTTAAGGTGCTGAAAGCTGTGCTCAGTGGTATCTTGTTGCTAGGATCTTTTTCATGGGAGGAAATAAAACAGGTTGGACAGAGCCCAGAACAAAGGAGAAGGAGACACTCCGATAGGAGGAATGTGGAGATGGGAGCAGGCTGGGTTCAGGTGAAGAGATGAGGAACAAAGTCCATTGCACAAGTCAAGCCGTGCAGGCATCTAGCCTTGAAGTGGAAATCAAGATTTAATGACCGTGTCAGTGATTTAATACAAAGCTCAGCACTAAATACTTCACTTCTGTTTTTATACAAAGGGAGATAGGAACGTTTGCTTGCCTACCTCGCAGGCATGCTGTGAAGGGTCACTGGTGGAAAGCTTGTACAATATTCCTAAATCCTGCATTGCTTGACAATCACTAAGGAGAGARACAGTCTGTGGAACACTTGACCACTTTTGCAGAGCTGTAAGTGTTGATAYAATAATTACAAAAGTCATTAAATTCCAAGAAAACACTGGGGTTTTGTTTCAGATATTTCTTCGCTTCARCATGGACTCTGAAAAACAGGGTACTCACTGTAGAAATGGCCCCAGCCCTATTTCCTTCTTCTTCAATCATCTCTGCTGATACACTGTGRCAGAGGAGAGCAAATACAGGGTAGATTGGTCTCACAAAGCACAAGTGCCAGGAGCAGATCTTCACAGTGTAATAGGGATAATAAAAGCTAGGGAAGAGACACTCTATGAAGGATATGGACTCCTCTGCAGATGGACAAAGTGCCATTTATGGTTTCCTTTCCTTAAGGAGCTATCATAGTCCAGCACTGGAAACTGGCAGACCTGCACTTCATTCATACTTTGGCTATATTCCATCTCACATAATTTTGCGGGAGTGTCAGTTTAGTCCTGCCAACCAAAGATCTACACAAATCAGTGTAACCTATCTTAGCACCTACTGTGCTTGTATGTCTAATATGAAAGTGCAGAACAGGAYGAATAAACTATTCTTTCCACTGAAGTCACAGGATCTTGCAAGCCATGAACAGGCTATAGAAAGACTTGAATGTAGGATGTCTAACAAGAGAACCTCACAACTCCCAGACTTCAAGTCCTACCAAGTGAGCACAGATGCCAGGGTAGGAAGGAACATTCCTCTGACCCAGCTGTGTCACCATCCAGGTGTGAGGCACACGAACTCTTTGGGAGTGTTTGTACAGCGTGTTGTACACAAAGCAATGATCTGAAAAGGGTCACTGTATGCTGCTGGAAGAGACACACACACTGATGGGGGAAAGCAATGGTTCTTCCTGCATGTACAGTTATCAAAGGGCATTACCAGTCCCAGACCATGCACTCCAGTCCTCAGCTCAGTGCAATCCTGGCTATTGCTGGCAATTTCTACAGTAAAGAAATAGAATGCATGATRTTCACCTTCACCCTCAGTTTCACTTATGCCATTCAGCTTGTCCATTTTCAAGACACCCCCAGCCATGTTATCTTTTTACACAAAATTCACGTAAGGGCAGGTGTCCCTTTTTGCAGCAAAGAGGACAGCCCGAGGAACCTGTCCCTTTATAATGGCTCAAGTTCATACTGCCATCAATTAGAAGAGCCTTGTACAATAAGGCCAGAAGCCAAAGACTGTTAAATGGTAAAGGCTCCAAGAAAAGGGGAAGAAACCCTTAAGAGATCATAAACACACTCTCTAAATCTTGAAAGAAAGAATTCATTAGCATTTGTGTTTGTCTCAGCCACTAACCTTTGCAAGAAATGGTTGCTTTCCTGAGTTCCCTACATTACCAGTCTTCATCTCCACAAGAAACAGAAATTACCAAACAAAACCAAAACATCAGGAACCAAACTTCAGATTACTATAAAAAATAAGGTAGTTACAGTCTGTAATAATAAATGAAGAACATAATCCCAGGTCCCAGTCACTTTACCCAGTCACAAGTTCCCAACAACTGATCACACATTTGCAGAAGCAAATCCAAAATATTCAATTCATCAAAGACTATCAGATAGTTATGTCCTACAATTTTTTTCAATTTTATTTAAAAAGAGAATTTAGAATTCTGCTATGGAAAACAGTATGGAAATGCAAGCAATGTGTTAGCTGCCTTGTTTTGGTTTCTTTAGCAACTTATTGCTTGACTGTCCAAACAAAAATGTGAAATTACAACAGGTTATGTGACGCTTTGGCAGTCAAACATAATTTTAAATAAAGACAGCACAATATACTGCACACCCCACTAACATATTCATCACTGCTATATTATCTATTTATGCAATTAAGTATTGTAGAGTCTGGATTGGACCCAACCGGACTACATATGCTGCTACTCCAGTTTATTGCATGTTGGCCAACTGTTTACCCAACTGAGATCTGAGTGCTGCTCTTGACAGTGTAATTGCTTTAGCCTCATTAATATTAAAGAATTAGAGAAAATATTTTTTCTTGGGCAGCTGTTAGTGCATGTGCAACAATAAGTTATATAATACTATTGGCAAATACAAAYATAATTTAGACACTATAAATGCTCATGGTAAAAAGACAATATTAAAGGTGCACATATTATGCTAAGCACAATAAAAAAGACCAGAAAAATCCTCACACCCATTCTAAGCAATCATTCATGATAATTACAACTCTAGTTTGAAACTTATAGGGATAGGTTTAGACTATTTACCTTTTTGTTCCCTGGACAGTGAAAACTTTAGATGTGGTATCATTCTTCCTACTCCCATGCACCAACCCAATGCTGCAATGTGTAGGTTAAATACACKGTGTCAAAGTTGGAACAGAGTAAACATGTTCCATTGCTATTTCGAAAACCCTAGTAAATATTCCTATTTAGTATCAACTTTTTAAGTCCCTCTCTTCTTCCTCATGCTTCCTTGCAAGATCTACCACCTCTACACTAAACTCTGTCACACTTGGCACAGAAAGAGAAGAYGCCAGCTTACATCTCCTCACCCCACTCAGTACCTGACAGGAGGTAACTTCACACTCCATTTACAGGAACATCCAGAAGCTACACACAAAATGTCATGAAATGCAACTGTAACTGCTGAAAGGAACAAAAATGGTTCCTCACTTTATCCGCTCCTCTGCCTTGGAGACTGCCTCGTGGTACTGCTCGGATGTCAGCTTGTAGATCTCTGCATTCTGAAAAAAAGAATAGAATGCTCAGCTCTAAAAAGTAAAGGCATCTCAGATCTTATCTTGTCACAAAGTCATCTTCTATAATTAATAACAATTTCCAACAACAAACAGAATATTCAGTTCAAAGGACACCAAAAAATGCTAAAGAATCAGTTTTATTTTCAGCAAAATGGATCAAGACCACAGCACATCCTTCATTCCAAGCTTCACCCTTGTGAAGCAAAAGAGGGGGAAAAGGTCCCTGCCAACCAACCATGAGCTTTGATTATTCCATGTAACCWCAAAAACAAGGTGTTTCCAGCACCAAGTTATTTTGAGTTTGGTCGTGTTTTATTCTCTTCTTTCATTAATTGCTGTGAAGGATCGTGTAAGTTCCTGACATGCAAGTATCAAAATTGGCTGCTAGCACTGGAAAATCCATTTTACATTTCAGTGCTTCTACTTATGTTACTTATTCTTTAAAAGAAAATTATGCAGCCTGTTTCCCTTTTAACAACACAGGGAGGCGTATCAGGTATCAGTTAAGGCGCTGCCAAACAGAGTCTTGAGTGTCTTGCTGCRGGGCTTAAGAGGTTTGCATTAAATTCTCCTGAACTTGCACAGAAAGAGTTTTAGCTCACAACTGTTAAATGTGGAGGATGCCTTCCTCCTCTGGGCTGCACTGAGGAGCCTCCCAGGCACAATCAGCAGGAGGGAACAGCTGCACACCCCCAGTGACTGCACTACAAGGTCYTGTGTCACTAAACTGCTGATAAAGCTGCATTAGGCAAAGCTGCTGGACTCCACTGGCAACTGCCTCGCTCAAAGCTCATCTGCAAGGCTCAAAAGTATGCAATAATCAATCAAAAAAAGTGACAAAATGGTATTGAAAGCGAGGACAGCTATTCATTTAGAGCTGGTTTGAGTTGCTATCTCATCTCTCCCCAAATTTGGTCATTTTATATAAAATACTATTCTTGCCCTTCTTCATTTATTTTTCCATAAATGCAGCTGTGGTCTTGCACACGATGAGCCAACACTATACTGCTCAGTGGTTGGAAAAGGGAAAGGACAGATATAACTCAAGTTCTATTAGTGGCTCTGTCACTTGTGCAATCTTGGGCAAGTCACCATTTTCCATCTGCAAGTGAGGGATAACAGCTGCCTGTATCTCTGAAGCTGGGTGAAACTCAGCTAATTGGAAAGTTTATACAGATTTTCAGAGCCTGGGCTTCAAGGTGTTACAYTTAAGCGTTTTATCTCTGGTGCCTGAATTTATGTTACATACCAAAAACACCGAACAGATTTTGCTCTTTCAAACTTTGACCTTTGAGACAGATTTAAACTGAGAAATCGTGGAGGATTAACCACTTCAAAATGCATTTTACCGGCAAATTATCATTAATGTTTCTGTTTACTTACTTGCTACATAGTGGTCAAACTTCAATGCTATTAAATCCATTTTTCTCCTTCCTACATTGAAAAGTTCAGCTTTTAATGATGCCTTTTTCTCTGGCCTGTAAACAGACCTCATGACTTACAGCTCCCTGCTGTTACTTATTCACACATGAAACCACAAGACCTGTGCTTCATTAATTAAATTTGCCATTAAAAATTAAATAATATGAATAAGTAGATGTAAGCGTTATCTCCATTGGGCTTCAAAGGTCTCACCGTTTCTCCAATCACTACCCAAGCAATTTTCATATTTCATACTGTCTGATTTCTCAAAGGGACCGGATCTGAGAGATCAAATTGAGAGAAAAGTGGGAAAAAGAGAAAGCGAGGTAGAAAAATTAAACATTTTTCAGGCAATAGGAAGTAGCCCTGTCAAACACTGTTAGCCTGCAGCACTCTGCAGTGAAACAGCAGCAGGAGAGGAAAACAGGAACAAATATGTTGCACATGAGAGCCAGCATGAGGTCACATTTAACCCGTCTAAAGAAAGGAAAAATAGCCAACACAATAATTTGCAGGATGTACTGTCGATCAAAGTGGTTGTGGCACAACCTTACCCAGTTTATCAGAGAGAGTTCAACTGCCCAGCACTTCAGCCAGCTCATCTTCAACAACATCAGCTACAGACACAGACACAAACRGCTAGGAAAGGAACCCAGGTTTTGGTTCTGGATTCTGAAGCTGCTAAAAGCAGGCAAGGGAGAGTGTTAACAGARAGGCAAGAATCTCCGTGAGGGAAAGGAGGAACGAGCTGGCCCCAAAGCAATCCCCAGGCACAGGGCACCATGCAAAGATTGAGGAGGGGCACAGAGCACCTTTAACCTGCAGATAAAGCTGCTGAGTTTTAAAATGAGAAGGAAACATCTTTGCATGTGATCCAACTGGGCATCTTGCTGTTGGTTCAGACCTCTCCCCTTCAAAACCTAATGAAACAATATTTCCAATGCTATGAATCAGCACCTTTAAATGCTTCCCGAGCAATAAAAACAGGGGGCTACCATTTAAATCTGAGTTTGTTCAACAGGTAGGCTTTTTAAATATGTTTTCTTTGGCCTTTAGACCCTTTCCTAACTTGGGAAAGTCACATTCCCTTTTGTCCTAATCATTAAATAAGCAACAAATGGACTAAATGGGCAACAGAAGGGCCATGCAGCATGGGTACAGTCACAGAAGGTTTTGCGATCTGGGGCTTCTACTAACAGAGAATAATTTTCCAAGTCTTCTCATCCATACTACTTCAGACACAAACTTGCTTTGTTTTCAGCAGTTTACCCACCATGCTATGAAAGGACAGAATGTTCCTGTAGCCTAGAACATTCCAGGGCTATATAATATGGTTACAAACAAGGAACCAAGCTAGGAACCACCTAAGCACTTCCTACAACTTCAGCAAGGTCGCCCCCACACAAGGGCTATTCAGCAGGATCAAGGTGTGGTATTTGCACTTGAAACAAAGTCTGAGCTGCCTGTAGTCTTAGTGAAGTCCTTYATCTTCATAAAACGATGTTCAGTGGTACAGTAAAAGAAAGAACATTCCGCACGAAATTACAAGACATGAACGCTGCTTTTAATTTACTTTCACAATATTTGATGCTTGAGATAAAATGGCAGCTCACAAAGAAAAAGTTGAACATGAGACCTCAACTATTATTAAATAAAGCTCCTGGCAGTCTTAGTTGCAGAAATAAGTTTAAAAACATGACCAAAGGACACCATAAGGGCTGAAATAACAAAAGACACAGAAAGAATGAATGAACCACCTAAAATGTTTCACTTCTCTCAATAAAGCTGAGCCTTAGGGGAGTCGACTTCAGAACATCAGAGCTTTGTCATATGGGGAGAGAGCTCTCCAGAGAGGACAAACAAACCAAGTAAAGAAATGTTAGTTTGAAAGATTTTTTCCTGCTATTAAATGACGGTTCATAGCAAATAATAAAAACACCAAGAAGTTGTAAAAATACATAACCAGAGCCTAAAGTGCAACAGAACCATTTTCCTTTACCCACTGTTTTTCTACAACAGATTTGCTGCTATACCCTTGCTCTCCACTCTTCCAAAACACCCTTGTGCTAAAAATTCCCTTCCAAAAAGAATCAATTTTGAAACTTAGAGCTAAATTTGGAGTAATTTTAATTCAGCATTCCTCCTTGGCTGCAAACATGCAGAGAAACTCCAACACTCACTACTACACCTCTCTACACTGCCCAGGCCCTTTCCAGAACATATAGCATAGAAAGTAAGAAAACATTATAGCAGAAGACTGAGTTCTCAGGGTTATTTCAGGAGGGAAAGTAATTGARGCATAAAGAGAAAACCCTGCCAGCTCATTCTCACACTGACATTAAACCACATTCCTTACAACTTCAGCGAAACATGCACTACTTGTGGTAACATGTAAAACAAAAAACTGAGCAAAACAAGCATGAGGAACTAGAAATTCATCAGATTTTAGGTGAAATTATTTGTGAACACTAAGCAACAGCATTAAAAAGCTGACACTGGGACAAAGATTTCTCCACCAGGTTCAGTCTGGGTCAATAGATCAGAAGGTGTCTGGATTAAAAACCAACAAAACCCAACCACCATAGCCACAGCTATCTTGAGATATTCTGACACCTCAGAGTATAGAAACTTGTCAGTGGTCACAGTGTTTAGAGATACAAAGAGGATTAACAGCTGTTGAAATGCTGCCAGCCTAGATGAATGCCAGTGATAGCTCTGATGAAACGGAGCAGGGCAGCGGAGGCCTTGACAAATGCTGCAGACGACAGCCGGGGGATTAGATGGTGCAATCTGCCTCGCACCTGACAGACGTGTTGCTTCCATCCCTTCTCCTGACATCCACGCTCGCCAGCTCCCAGCAAAACTCCCTCCACAAGGCCAACTCAAACCCAAAAGAGCATGAGCAGCGATGCTGTGAGCRCAGCAACATGCGGTGTGCCCCACAAGGGCACCACAAATTCGTTAGAGAAACAGGTAAGAAAAGCAAAAATTACTTCTCACATATTAAATGTCAGCTGGGAGGCATTCAAATTCCTGCTTCCAGCTGCTTCTGAAGCCAGAAATAAGACCTCACACCATCTTGAAAATCTGCACAAGTGCCACCTGCCTGCACACTCTTGGGGCAGGGAACACACACATGCCCTGGATGCAGCTGCTGCCATGAGGAACTCCAGGAAGCTCCAGAGGAACATCGCTCAGTGGCAGCTTTGGGAGCCATCTCTGCTCCCAGCAGTGCCTCAGGGAAGCAAAGGTACACCCAAGGCTCCCCACACCTCACCGGGTCRCTGGTTCACACGCACCGCAGATCAGGCTGTTCGTTCTCATCACTCAGAAGTCTYGTGCAAATGGCTCCTAACAGATTTGAAAAATTACCCCATGTACCTGCATCCCTCCCTCAGGTACAGAGGCAGATGAGCCAAACCAATCTGTTCACTGGGTGACCCTATGGATGTGTTAAAATCAACCCACACAATCAATCACTGCTRTCAACTTCAGTCCAAAACAGGGAGTTTGGGAATTTCAGAACATGCTGCAAGAAAAAATCTCTTCACCTCCTGAGCCCG